CCAAAGTCCAAGAGAAAAAAAACCTAAATTTGTTTTTATTATAGATAAAACTATGCAACAGTACTTGAAAGTAGGGTGAGAAAACTGAAAGATATTATGCAAGCTCAAACAACTATAAAAATATCAATGAGTTACAGGTAATAATCTAACGGAGAATACAAAATGAAACTATACCACTCAATGTAAAAGAATGAAGCGAAATGGAATGAGATGGAGACAACCAAAAACAAATAGAAAAAACTTAATCACACTACATGTATGGCTAAATGCCCCACTAAAGACGTAACTGTCGGTTTAGCTATTACTTGCAAGAAATGCATGTTAAACATAAAAATGCAAATGAGTGAAAGTATAAGAATGAAATAACATTTTAACTTATGCTAGTTCAAAGAAATATCTAATGTGGGGCACAATGGTGCACATTTGTAATCCCAGCATTGTAGAGGTCAAGGCAGGAATACTGCTGTGCCTAGGCTAAACAGTAAATTCAGGGTTAGCCTGAACTGCATAGCGAGTTTCTCTCTTTAAGAAGCAAAATAAAACTAAGCTAAACTAAACTAATAGATATTTTAGTATTAAAATCTATATCAGAATGAAATATAAACTGGGCATGGTGGCTCATGCCTGTAATCCCAGCACTCGGGAGGCTGAGGTAGGAGGATCGATGCGAGTTTGAGACCAGCCTGGGCTACAAAGTGAGCTCAAGGCCAGCCTAAACTGCATAGTGAGACCCCATCTCAAAAAAAAAAAGAATGAAATATAGGATTTTTCTGCTATTTGCAATCAAAAATACCCCTGGCACTCTATCTTCTGCTGCTCAAAGTTTCAAAGTTCCTTTGTATAACCAGTAGAGCACTTCTTATATTCTCCCTATAATGGAGACTAATTCAACATGTACAGCACAATACCTACTTTTAGGCCTCTGAAGAGACCTATGTTGGGTTTGAGCCGTTTTCCAATTATTATACTGTGTTTAAAAAAAGCTAACATAGAAGGCCCCTGACTACTACTCTTACAAAGGTCTGTGTGCCTGCTGGGAACTTGGGCTTTGGGAGGGTTCCCTAACTGATACGCATGGTTTCCTATGGCTAGAATATAAAATAAGGCGGCTTATCTTGTGATTACTTCACTCACTGAGTCTAAAATGTCATACAAACTAGACAAAAAGATGACCAGAAGACCAGCACTCAATAACAACCGTCAACACCCTGGGGCATCATATGCATGCTGCTTTACTTTCACTGCTAAAGCAAGAAAGTACTCTGTATGACTCCTCACAGAAAAGAAAATGCACAGGTTGCCTTATTGTGAATTCTTCAACATCATGCTGGTGTCTCTTTCCACTGAGAACCTTCCACTGCATACCCATGTAGCATCACAGTAGTAAATCTTGGCCATTATAGCTCTACACTGAGTCCCACGCACAAAGAAAATCTCTAAATGTATTTGAGACAGTTCTGTGGATCCCTGACACAAACAGAGTTCAGATCTGTTATTTACATTTCCTCTTAACAAACTGGTGGGGTAGAATAAGGAACACAGACTCCAACTGATTTTTTTGTTGTTGTTGTTTATATTGCAAAGCACTACATCCTTCCAATTTGATTTAAATACCACAAAGCTCAACTAATCTTTCCTTATCATGTTGCAATCTCAGCACTCAGGAGGCTGGGGCAGGAGGATCACTGAGTTATACGGCAGTATAGGCTACCATAGTGAGTTTAAGGGCAGCCTGCACTACATAGCAAGACACTGTTTCAATAAAGGGAAGAAGGGAGAGGAAGGAAGGGAAGGGGAGGAAACAAGTGGGCAAAAAAGAATGGATAATCCTTGTTTGTAGTTACTTTCGTCAACATGAGAAACCTCTGGTTATCTGCAATTGATTTACTTCTTTGTCCACTTACAGTACATATACAGATCTAAAAATGTTAACCTATACTCCAGTGAGAAGCAAATCAACAAATCAGAATACAGCACATTTATATAGTTCTTCTTTTCTTTGGCTTTACATTATCTAATCAAAGTACAATTTCTACCATTTCTTAGGTTTTATTCCCAGTCCCCTTCTGTATTAACTTTGCTACTGCTTTTTGGATCCCCAATATTCTGGCTCATGCTAACTGCTTATATGAAGAGTATGTAGAACATTCTATCGTACCAAGAGTCACAGCGCGCGCACACACACACAGACTCTCTCTCTCACACACACACACACACACACACACACACACACACACACACACACACTACCAACAAGAGTAACGCCCTCAGAAGTGAAGTGTTCCTCATATTTCATCCTTGCTAGATGGAATTTTATTCCTGTCCTTCTACCTCCTTATCAACTCACTTACTATTTGTGATCAATCTCTTTGATTTCTGGCTTACGCTCCCCTACGTTTTTTACAACTAAGCATTTATGTGTATTTTCTTGCCATTTTCTTACATAAACGGCAGCACCCTATAATTGTTCTTTTATACTTTTTGTTCTGTTAATAATGTATAACAGACACAATTCCACAACAACTCAGTATTTTTTACTACACAGTAATCCTTATGTTCAACTATTTAAGTAACCAACAAATGTGGGCTCTTAGATTGTTTCCAATATATTCCAAAATAAGCAACGGTCTAATCAGTAACTGTCAATTGATACTGATTTTTATATTGTTGGAAGAATAGTCAAGATAGATTCTTATAAGAATCAAAAGATAAATACATATGCAGTTTTTTGTTTTGCTATGTTTTTTGAGATAGGATCCTACTATGTATGGTTTCAATTCACCCTATGGCCCAGGCTGCCCCTGAACTCAGACCAGTCCTCCTGCCTCCGCCTTCTGAGCTCCGGGATTACAGGCAAGCTCCACCATGCCCCGTTTGCAGTTTATTTTATATGACCAAGCTCCCTCAAGAATACTGGTACCAAATTGCTTCTGTACCAGCAAGTATGAGGGGTACCTGCTTCCTTAAAGCCTGGTTAACTAATGTGTTGCTATACATTTGAAATTTTGTCAGTAAGACACATCTTCCTTTCTTAAGGGCACATTTCAAGTGTAATGGTCTATCCTATACCTACATAATAAAGGAAAAAATAAAACAAACAAAAATCAGCAAAAATAGCAATAAAATACTGACCTTACTGTAAGTTTTGAGTGACTGAATCTAGTAGGGAAGCAAGAGCTTGACAATGCTGCCACTAGCTCCTTCTAATCTTCCCAACGGACTGTTCCAAGGACTGCATTTGCACTCAACTACTTGGGTCTGTGAGCCCCCATTGTCTAGCCAGTCTTCCCAGCAAGTCTTCCCCGCCTCTATGATTCCACCACAAAGAATAAAGAACAGCCTTCATTTCTGTAACATCTGAATACTAATCAGTAAGTATTCACAAAACAAAAATGGTACCTTTTATCCAAAAAGGATAGGGTGAAACAAGCTTTTTTTTTTTAACCTCTGAACAAAGAGAGATAGGAAACCTGGATGTGTATATTATAAATTTCTCCATTTGATATCACATAAATCTTACGGATCCTCTAATTCTAGTCTGACACCACAAAGATCATTTTAGCCTCTGTTAACAGCTCTCTGTATAGTAGTTTCACTCAAATAATCTAAAAATATTTCTAACCATCTCTAAAAGAGATGGCTCTCCCTGATCCATCACATCCTTCATCTAATGACCCAAGTACAATGATACCTTGGTTCAGGAACGCTTCTGTTGCAAATAATTTGGTTCACAAACAGAAACACTGGGCAAAATTTTGCTTCCATTTGCTGTACTGGGTCATAAACACAAATAGGGCCATCTTCCTCAGAATCATGGAACAAAATAAATTCATGAACCAAGGTAGCACTTTATGTTCAAGCCGAACAATTTAAGATTAGGCATTATACTATTCAAAATCTGATGCCATGTACTTCAGGGTAATGTCAAATTGTAAAACAAGTATTCTGGCCTGACTCTTCTTAAGGCAACGTTATTCACCTAATGTGAACGAAGTCTCTCTGATAACCTTAGCAGGAGGTAGTAACTATTACTGCTTGACGCTATGTCCTTGTTTCAACTGTACCTTTGAAATCTTTACCTGTATTTTATTGATTAAAGTCTATATTGGTTTCCACCAACATTTCTAGTTTTAATGTTTCTTATGAAGGATTGTCTCATTTCTCCCAAATATACTTGTCAAAAACCAAAGAGAATTTGAAGATAACAAAAGCATTATTACTTCAGAGTTGGCTACCTTTATAGACAAAAGGTAATACCATTTATTTTTGTGATTGCCTCAAAAGCACATGAAAATAACTGTAAAAGCTTTGAAAAGTGGTAGAGTTTATATATATACATATACATATACATATATATATATATATATATATATACATACATATATATATATATATATATATATATATAGATATATATGTATATATCTGACATATTCTCAAAAAGATTAACTGACTTGCCAACTGGACTAAAGAGAACTATTTTTATCCATGCTTAAAATATTACTGTTTTTGTTTTGTCAGGCACAGTCTCACTACATAGTCCAGGCTAGCCTTGAACTCGCTAGGTAATGCAGGCTGGCCTTGAAGTCACGGTCATCCTCCTGCCTCAGCCTCCGAAGTCTGCACCATCATGCCCAGTAATGTTTAAAATATTGAGCAGAGTTATTCCACATTGTGGGAAAAAAATGTATCAAATTTTGTCATTCTTATTTTAAATCTACATTAAGTAATTTTGTCTTAATAACCACATGGATGTATAAGTGTAGTTAGTAATTCTCATTTCTAAAAATGTTAATTTAAGATTAAAATATTTACATTTACTAATCATACCATATTACAGCTGTTTGTACATTATACTCTTGATAAAAAACCAATTTCCTATTTGCAGGGTTTTTATACCATAATAATCATTTAATAAATAGTTCTTGTAAGTAAACTTTTATATTAAATAAAGTGAAAGTTATAAAATTATGGTTTAAATATTAGTGCCTTCTACTTACTTCTGTGCTCCCTGAGACAACAGCTTTGTCCACGTTCACTAATAATGGTTCTTCTACCTGGCACACACCTAGTGACCACTCCACACAACGGTGATGAGCCCAACAAGTGCCTTGAAAGTGAAAGGGAGAAAATGAGTAAACATCAACAATAGGAATGCAAATAAATGAATACATGAAGTTTCAAAATAAACTCCTCAGTTGAAGACATAGTGGTGTGCTGCCTCTCTGATTAAGCAGCTTTTCTAAGGCCACGCTCTGTCTATGAACCACAGCATCGATACCAGGCCAGCTCACAGGTTAGGACTGGCTCAACCAAAAACACATGGAGTAGAGCCATGAGCTGTAACCAACCTTCCTGCTGATTTTAATACACATGAAGTCTGAGAATTATTTATAGTGACCATTTCTTCAACAAGCACAAGTTGGTTTTCGGTCTTTTATTTGAATACCATTATCACTTTTATTTGACAAAGGGAACGTATGGAAGGAAAATAATGACATATGATTCTACTCCCTGTTATATGAGAAGAGCAGGCACAATTCATCAACAGCCACATGGTCCTTAAATGCTCCATCTCACAGCACTTGAAACACTATCCACCCATCAGCACACCAAACATAAAAAGAGATTTACTTAAAATTCCAACACACACTGGAATGGGAGCTGCTACACTGTTTTTTATAAGGGAATCCCTGTGGCAAAGGGCAACAGTCCCCTGGCCAAGAAAACAGATCCAGACTCCCATGTTTCAAGGTTTTCACCTATTCCTTTACCATGCCCCTTTCGCCTCATCTGCCAGGCCTTCATGGCACTGCTATCTCCACCACAGCCAAAAGCATTTATGAAAGCATCCAGCCCAGGGTTATCACAGTGCAGATTTTAAGTACGACAGTAAACATAAATGAACAGTAGACACAGTTACTGACATGTTTGATAATGTGATCCTGATTATTTTTTACATGAGAACTATTGATTACTGAGTAAGATGGTGAAGGACTAAAATATAAATGCTTCCAAATCAAGAGGCAATTGTCAGTGAAGAAATGCCCTTACCTGCAGAATCAAATAAGGCTTGGACATCAATGGCATCTGGAAGGCCAACCAGACTGAGCTCATCCCATAATTTACCAGCCTGATCATCTGCAACTGTCTGGGTGCTTACACTCATACAAGACACCATATTCTGCTGAAGAGCTCGTTCTCTGAAAATAAAGTGGGTTAAGATAAATGCCTTTGCAAGTGATGACAAGTAGAAAATCATCTCATTTTATAAAACTTAAAGTATGATGCACTGCCAAGTCAATTTTAATTTATTAAGCATTAACTGTGATTAAACAACTTATAAATTCATTCCTAGTATTCATAGTATGTTACTGTGGATGCCATATTATTCTGGTAAACAACAACTAAGTGTCTATAAACCTATAATAAAGTATTAAAATAACTGTAAACTTATTTTTCCATTTTCTAAAGTAATTTTTTTTTTAAAAAGTTGACTCATTTTAATCAGGAACCATGTTTTAACACATAAAATTCAAATTCCCTTTGGTCTTACTAATGCTCACAAAACGTAGCTCGGTCAGAAAATTTAACATGCTTCATCTAATGGAGAACAGCCACAACAGAGGTGGCAATTAATTTTATATGAAGAAAGGTTATTTTCCTGAAAAAATAAAAACCTGCCACACAGTGTGCGAAGGGAGGTGGGGGAATGAAACAGGTCAGCTGCACTTTCTTATGGTCCCCTTGACAGAATCTCAACAGCTGTTTGGTGGCATGATGTTGAAGAAGCCTCAAACAAGACCATACTGTACCAATCATGAAAAAATATACATACAGCTACTGAAGGCATGGGAACTAATGAAGACAGTATAACAGTTAAAACTAGAATATTTAAAAAAATGAATAAGATATAATATATGGGAGATTTCAGACTTTCAAACCCTAACACTTCAGGTATTTTTTAAGATCATTCAGTGAACAAAGAGGAATACCATGGTCAAAATTGATTATGAGGAATCAGACAGCTACCACTAAAACTTTAATTTTCTCCTAATATCATAGTATTTAACCTGACGATAATTCTGGATTAAATCACTATTGAATATAGATATAACTCACTGCACTTCTGTATGCTGGATATTTATCATGATTCCTATTAAGAGAAAATCAGCACAATGACCAGGGTACTAAACTTTTTATACCTGGAATCATTGAAAGAAAAAAAGTATTAACATATTTCAATAAGTACATTTAAATATCAAACCATATAAAAACCAGTCACTTTTTTATGTTCAGCATTAGAAAAAGGTTCAGCAAGCTAACTTTAAATTCTCATTTTTAAAAATGCCCACAATAAAATGAGAACAAATGCTTTTCTACAAATATTTAATAATGACTAGTCGGTGTTACTTTATCAGAGGAAAAAGACTGACAGAGTTCATTTATAAGTATTAGTGTATTTTAGGTACTGGTATTTGATGAGGGAAAGAAAAAAGCAACAGAATGACTTACTAGTCTGTTACTACCAGTAATCAGTTCCTAACCAAAAATGTAAATCAGGTTTTTAGACTGGTTTGTATGAATACACCATATCAAATGCCAGTATTGGGGCTGGGGATTTAGCTCAGCGGCATAAGCACCTGAAATGCCAGTATTAATCCTAAGGATGACAGTAGTCCAGCTCAGGAAAAGTCAACGGAAATATACACTCACAAAATTTCAAATTATAAAACAAACAAACAAACAAAAAACCCAAAGCAAATTTAAAAAAGAAACACCCTTGATTATATAGTCTTATATTAACTACAACTAAGAAAGCCATTGGTAAAATGTTTTTTGTTGAGTTTTTTTTTTTTTTTTTAATCAACTAGTTGTTTATACCTCATTAGTAACTTTTTTTTTTAAAGTATCAGGAATCAAACCCACAAACTCACACTTGCCAGGTAGGTGCTTATGCCACTGAGCTAAATCCCCAGGCCAACCTAGTAGCATATTTTATAAATATGTGAAATTATTACTAAGCTGAATTGTCTATTTGTCCCTACATGGTTGCCAATTTTCGAGGTGTACTTCATTAATGGGCTTTTATCATTACTTAATAAACTTGCTAAGCACTAAGTACATACAACAACTTTCATTATGCCAAGACTATTTTTATTCAATTTTCTGAGCTATAAAATTATGCACTAAAAATTAACTTCTCTTATAAAATAATTAAGAAAATAAAGCTTAATTCTGTATTATAGAATAAGATTTTACCTAATTGCCTTTAATAAAGATAGAACGTAAGGATACAACATGCAATGTGTCTGGTCTATAAAACCTGCTAAGTATTGATGATCATTTTAGGTTTGCTAGACTTTTGGGTATACATGCAAGCACCCAAATAATAACAGATAAGGTTTATAAATAAGCTTAGGTACAGTCTTAAAAACATGATTCTTCAACTGTAGTACTTCTAAGCCTTCTTAAACTGTTCTACCTTAAATACTTTTAAAAGGTTCCTGTTATTGTTTCAATTTTCTTTGTCAAGTCTTCAAAGGATTGGCGGCAGTTCAAATCAATAAGCCAATCAAGTAAGTACAGCACGCCAATGCTTTAGTACTCAAATGTGGAGATGTGCCAGACAGGCACTTGGAGGATTACATCAACACCTGCAAGGAACAGCAGTGGTCAGCCTTATGAGCTAGATTTTTAAGTTTTATGCTTCCTTGTCAGCAACAGAAACTTCCCTTCCCTTAATCAGCAGAGCTCAGGCCATACATTAAGATAGTCTTTAGCCACAACTATGCAAATATTTTAATAGTGTTATCAGACAAGCACTTTGGGTAACATACATATAGTTATCCAAACATTTTATTTTCTTGAAAAAGTGTCTTAGGTACCTTTATTAAAGGAATCCTAAGTATATAGTTACAGAAAGAAAAGGAACAAGAGGAAAAAAAGAACCGTGTTCTGATTAGAATTTACAGGATAGCTCAATATTCTTCAAAAAAATTGTGTAAGAATTTAATTAATTAAATGACAAAATGAACAAATGAATCAATGACACAAAAGGTGTGAACAGTAAAAATAATTCTGAGTTTTTTTTATTTGTTTGTGGGTTGTTTGAGTCAGGGTCTTGCTATGTAGTTCAGGCTGGCCATGAACTTACTATATAGCCAAACTGGCCTTGAACTCATGGTGATCTTCCTGCCTCAGCCTCCCTAATGCTGGGGGTTTTTTTCCTCTCCCCCTCACTCCCTCCACCCGTACAGGGGATGAACTCACAACCTTGTGCTCACCAGGCAGGCACTTATACCATTAAGCTAAATCCCTGGCCCTGAATGCTGGTTTTATAGGTGTGAGCCAGTTTTACCAATTCTGTTATATTCATACAAACAATTAAAAATGTAGTGGAAAGAAAGGACTTCAGTGGTGTTTATCTTCTTTCTATTGATAAATCCCATGAACTCTTTTTGGCTTGCATTTTTAAAACTTTTCCTCCAAAAGTTAACTGTTACCTAATTTTGCTAACGTATAATTAACAATCATTTAAAAATAAGAAATTTTGAGAAAAGGACTATTTTAGGTTAATAATAAGTCATAAAATACTTCATGAATTTGGAAAATAATGAGAAACTTTAACCATAAGAACCCCATGTGTAAACTTATAAACAATTAGATACAGTTTCATCCCACCAATTTAAATTCAAAACTGCTTACTTTCTCTGTCCTCTTTGTCTTCGCGGAGTTGAGTTTTGTACTCTCTCATAGGTTCCACTGCTGCTGTCATCAATGTCCTTGTTAGAAGGCTGGCTTTGCCATGGCAAGATAAATCCAGGCGTTACTCTGAATTGTTTTAAGTCCCCCTGTCCTAAGGAACTTTTTTCCCCACAGTAACAAAAAGCGCAGAGCTGTTCACTGGTAAAAATGAAAAGTGAGGAAGACAGAGAAGGTGAAAAGCAGCTTTATTCAATAATTTTAAGCAATGTTACTGGACACTTGTGCTTTACAATTATAACTTTAATGCAAGCAAGGCTTTTTCAATGTATTTTCTATAATCTATTCTGCTGTACTTTCAGAACTGTTAAGTTTAATAACAATATACATTAGCAATTCTACTTTTCCACAACATGATATCTGTTTATCTATGCATACCTGCAATGCTAGTGATTAAACTCACGGCCACATGTACGGCAGATAAGTGCCCCAACACAGTCCAGCATGTCAGTGCAAAACCAGCACTCTGAAAGGCTGACATAGGAGGATCACAAGTTCTAGCCCATCAGGGCAAGTTAGGAACTTAGCAAGACCCTAGTTCAAAATATCTTTTAAAATTTTATAGATTTTTTAAAGAGTTGAAGACACGGGATTTAGCTCAACAGCATAAGCGCCTGCCCAGCAATCACAAGGTCATGAATTTGATCCCCAGTACCAAAAAATAAAACAAAACAAGAGTTGGAAACACAACTTGCTCTGAGTTTAATCCCAGTACCTCATACAAAACAGTGTTCCATCACTGAACTATATATAACAGTAGTATACCCCCAGCCCAGCATGATTTTTTAAAAGTAATACATATACCAAATTTAGAAATTCAAGTTTGCACTTAGAAAAATTATTTTTTAAAAAATCTGCTACAGTCAATCAAAATTTTAACTCAAAACAATAAGCAAAATAAAACTAAGAATGGGGAAGAAGATGAAGTTTAATACCCATGTGGTTGCATGCTGGATCTATAACATAGTAACATTATAAATAGTTATGTAAATATCTGATCTCACAGTGCTTTATATACAGACAGAGGTAAACTACAGACTTTAAAGATTTAACGAATATACTGTACTAATGCACAGTGCTAAACCATAGGGGACAAGAGAAATTCCGTGCTGTCTGCTCAATTTTTCTGCAAAAGGTGTTCTAAACATTAAAGCCTATTAATTTTTTTAAAAGAGAACATTAAAATGTTAAAACATTAAAACTAATATACATTATGAAATACACATTTAAACAAAAATCAAAGGGCTTCTCTTCAATCTATTTTCTCTTCACAACAGACTGACTGCCAACATACCTAAATCTTTCTTCTCAAGTTTCTACGTCATCTCAGTAGTATCTACCTATCGATAACCATATTTTTCATTAGGATATAACAATATAGTCATCTGAGCTGCCCTATTCAATTCTATAACCAAGAATTCACTTTCTATTCAAGCATATTAAAATAGTCCCAAAATTACTATATATTGGGCCATAAAAGAAGACTTACATTGAAAATGTCCTTATCAAGCTGAGGTGGGAGGATCGTTGCAAGTTCGAGACCAGCCTGGGCTACAAAGTGAGCTCAAGGCCAGCCTGAACTGCATAGCGAGAACCCATCTCAAAAGAGACCAAAAAAAAAGAAAAAAAAAAGTCCATATCATACAGATAATATTCTCCGAAAATAATGTCATAAACTAAAAATGCATAATAAACTTAAAATTTTCTAAATATTAGAGAACACACAGCTAAGAACCTTGCAGTTAAAAATGCAAACCCCAGGTCAGGGCTATAGCTCAGTGGCACAGTACCTGCCTGGCAAGCACAAAGTCCTGAGTTCGATTCCTAGGACCAAAAAAAAAGCAAGCCACAGTATTTGGGATGGGATAATAATGAAAATCCATGATGAATGTTATCATTACATACATGTTATCATTATGGTATGTCTAAAATGTAGCAATAAAATAAAAAAGCTTTTAAAGAATACAAATACTGGGCAACCCATTTGGGACTCCTATGTCTCAAGAGTTAGACCTAATTAATCCCCATTTCTATTCCCCATTCCTTATTGTCAATAAAATTTCCTACTCTTAATAAAAAATTTTTAACAAAAAAGAAAATTCTGAACATTAAACTTCATGACATGCAATTAAAGTTGGTAAGTAAACAAGAACTTACAAATTTATAGAATTATCAATAAATTAAGTTAATAATTAAAAATTATCAATAAATTAAAAGTTTAGATGCTAATGAGCTAGGATTTCAACAGGTTAGAAAGAAGTAAATGAGAACACCAATATAATAGAAGTATCAAGGAAAACAATACATAAATAAAGACAAACAGTAAAGATGAACAAAGGCAAAACTTAACTGTTTAGAAGTTATCTAAGAACCAGGCAATATACAAACAAAATACAAAATGAGGAAAAGACAGTATATATACAGATGCAAACCCCAAATGATAAATAATAAATCGCTACCTCATTATTCTAACACAGTACTAAAGAATAATTATGCAAGAGAAGAAATAAAGGCATCTTTATAAGAAAAGTTAAACTGTCACAATAAGCTGATAATATGACTTTATGCAGATAAAGAAAACTCTGAAAGACATCAGCATAAAACGTTAAAACTGAAAGAATTCCGTAAACTTTCAAGACATGATTATAAAAATTAGAATTTTTACATACTAATAACATAATATCCAAAATTTTGTAAAATAATCTCATTTATAGTAGCAACAATAAAATTAAACATTTCTGGATAATTTAATGTGAGTGACCAAGGAAATAAAAGATCTGCATACTAGAATTATAAAATATTTATGAATTAAATAGATATCCCATATTTACAATTTACAATAACACTGTGAATATGCCCATGACATTCAAAGTACAAATTCAATGTGATTCTCACCAAAATTCCAATGCCATTTTTGACAGAAGAGAAAAAAGCAATCCTTAAATTCACATTGAGCCACAAAAAACACCCACACAGCCAAAACTATTTTCAGTTTTAAAAAAAAAAAATGGCTAAAGGCAAAAACAATCTGACTTCAAATTATTTATTATAAAGTGATTATAATCAAAACAGTACAGTAAGGCCAGTGCACAGGTGCATGCCAGTAATCACAGCTACTAAGGAGGATGAGGCAAAAGGGTTTCAAATTTGAGGCCAGCTTAGGCAACTTGATGAGATCTTGTCTCAAAATAAAAATTTTTAAAAAGGCTGGGGATGGAGCTCTGTGATAGTGTGTTCACCTAGCATGGGTGAAATCATAGGTCCAGGACTAGAAACAAAACAAACAGGACAAAAAGAATGAACACACAAGTGCACACAAAACCAGCATGGTACTGGCTAAACCACAGACAGGTCAACTACTGAAAATGGACAAAAATCCCAGAAACACACATTTACTATCAGCTGACTTTTATCAAAGCTAGAAGGAACATGCAATGCAAAAATGGCAGTCTCTTCAATAAATACTGCTGGGAAAATGAGATAATCACATGCAGAAGAATAAAACTGGACCGTTGTCTCACATCAAGTTAAAAAAAACTCAACTCAAAATGGATTAAAGACTTAATTGTAAGACCCAAAACTAGTTGGGTGTGGTGGCACACACCTGTGATGGGGGGGGGGCCTCACATTTAAAGTGACTAAATGATAAGGAGGAATTCAAGTTCCAAGCCAGGATGGGAAACTTAGTAAGACCCTGTCTCAAAGGCGGGATATGTATGTATGTATGTATGTATGTGTGTGTATATATATATATATATATATCTCCCCCAAGAGTTCAATCTCCAGTGTCCCTCCCTCAAAAAACATAAAAAGCCAAGCAGGACAGAAGACTTAAAAACAAAAACAGAAACAGAAAAATTAGCAGAAACTATATCTCTACTACTCTTATTTTGAAAATGTTCAAACCTCCCAAAAAATATTGGGGGGGGGGGGGGGGAGGAGACCACAGTATACCAGACATTTGTATACTCTACCTAGATGCACCATGTGTCCTGGATTTCCTAGGCTAAATGAAACCCTGGTAGACCAGATAAAATGAGGGGGTTAGGGAGGTCTCTCTGGGAAGGTCAGTCACATGAGAGAGAGCAGAGCAAGCTGGAAGTCCTTGACAGAAACATGATCAGTGTGTTTCACAGTGGGGACGAGCTAAAAGCAAGGAGAGCACAGTAGGTAACAGCCAGGCCATTTCATGCCCTGCAGAAATGCCAAAGACCTGAAGGTTAAATATATTTACTTTAAATATAATAGATAACTACTGTGGGTAGTAGGAGGAGAAACCTGATTCACATTTTAGGACAATTTTTGTCACTGTGCTAACAAAAAACTAGACTGCAAAAAAAGATAAAAACAGTAAGTAGAAAGACCACTTAGAAGGCCTCCAGAAGACAACTGCTTCAACCACGATGACAGTCAGTTAAGACAGTAAGAAGTCTTGTGAGTTATCTTCTGAGTTGAGCTATAGGATTTATTGGATTGAATATCGGGTATGACACAAGACAGAAAGAAAGCAAGAATTAACTCCCAATTTTTGGCCTAAGCAATTAATAACAACTGATATCATTTGTTAAAATGGGGAAATCAAGGAGAGAAACAAATTTGAGGCAGAGGTGGATCCAAGTGTAGTTTTGGACCTGTCTGAGGGTGAGGGGTCTTGGACATTTCCAGAGGAAGTTGTTAAGCAGCCAAGATGGATTTGAGTCTTAGCACAAAAGTCTAGATGTGGGTCTCATAAGGACACACACAAATCACTGCTGCCAGACTGAATGAGCTTTTCCAGGAAGTGAAGAAAAACAAAGAACATACCACATACCTGGGGACTCCAACATGACAAAGGTGAAAACTATCCAAGGAAACCCACAAAAGACAAAATGAGAAGTGAAGTGTGCCAAAAGCAAATTACATACATTCGGGAGATGAGATTATTCAACAGACTGATAATTTCATTGGTTTATTCAAGTCTTGCAAGAAGGGCCTAAAAAATTCAAAACTTCAAAGCTGAACTTCAAAAGGTACAACATCCCAAGAATGGAGAAATGGAAGGAACTGGAGTAGATAGAAATGAATAAAAAATGAATTCTTATGCTAAATAATTTCTTCAGCCAGAAACAGCATGATGCTCATATTCCGGACTTTACTAAAGCTACAGTGACATCCTAACAAGGTTCCTTGCTCTACAGTCTCAAGGGCACAGCACTGTCTGTCCCAACTTTACACAGCTACTAAATGATAAAAGGCCATCCAAACTAACATCCAAAATCCTTCCTCCCTCAATTTTCTCTCACTGCCCTTTTGCCTATCAGCAATCCCCAAAGTCTATTCATTTTCTAACCTGATTTTGGCTTCTACACCAACAGAGACCAGGAAGTTTACAGATTCCTCAGATGCTGGCTGCTGAAGAGTGGGGACTGGCTGCTTGCTGCTATCCACTTCTGCTTCGGCATCTTCTTCTGCAGAATGTTCTTTGATTTCTACTTCATAATAAACAAGAAGATATAAAGAATTATTTTTGTGTGTATATTAATCATTGGTGAATTCATCTACAACGCATGTACATTAATGAAAGAAGAATTGATAAATTTTGACAATACGTCATTAACACAGGAAAAAGTTTATCACTAAAAATATTGTTTCAGTAATGCAGGAAAAGTTGATAACAACTGCATTGTTTATATTTATTCTTTTTTTTTTTTTTTTTTTTGTATTGGGGATCAAACTCACAACTTCACATTTGTCAAACAGGCACTTACGCCACTGAGCTAAACCCCCAGCTGTTTATATTTATTCTGTCCTAGAAATGATAAACTACTATAAAACATGACATACATTCCTTTGCACAGAAGGAACAGGTAAGTGACTCAGTGTTATAACTGCTAATCTTTTTTCAGGACTATAGCAATTGATTTACAGAAAAAAAATATTTCAATGTGACTCTTTTTTTACTTTTTTTGTATTTCACGATCTGAATTTATTATTAATTTTAAATCATTATGCATTCTGATTATTAGGCACTATAAAGTTATATATTTCAAACAAACACACTTTGATTGCATTGTTTCTAACTCTCCACAGAACTCTAGCACAAGATCCCTCATACATAACTTCTCAGAAGAACCAAACTACTGACAGGATTTTCAAACACCTCCACTCTCACCACTATCATCCTTCTTTTTAAATAAAAACATTCCATCTACCCTGTCTTTCAGGCCCTATCACCAAAGCTCCTGATACAATTCAACATGCTTAGCAGAATCCTTCTGTAATCACAAATTTATGTATAGTTTTGTACATCTCCCTGCTCCACGTCAACAAATAAACTCCTAAATATTTCCCTCCTTTTACCATCAAATGTCCTGAAATGGCAGAGTAACTTTCCCCTCAATTAACCCTAACATACACTCATCCTGCTACTAAGTAATTTTTCTCATCAGCAACATAGGATGCCAACAGAACTGACAATCCAGGAGCCTCTAACAAGTTCTCAAATACCCTCAGAATTCCTTTCACACCCAGATCTTCTAACTTTTACAAACAGGGAGATACAATGGGTCAGTACAGGAGCTGGCATCATAAAGGCCTGATCTCAAGTACTAATGTGCCCATGCACTGACTATTCAATAATACATAAAAGTCATCTCTCTTTACTCACCTATAAAAACTACCATTATGTATCTCTTAAGACTGATAACAAAGATGACTTCCGGGAAGATGGCAAAGCGGTAAACAGCAGAAAAAGCAACCTCTCTGACAGTGACCATCCAGATGCTAGAAGATAGCATTGTGAGGAAGACGAAGGAAGTGGGTCCCATGGACCTATACTAACGTGTGAATTGAGGCCCATAAAGAGAGTCAAAACAAAAACTTCAAGGAAGAAGGTGGTGGCGCCCAGTGGCACCTTTATCCTGAGACAAGACACACTGTGCTAGAGAACTGCATTGTTTGAACCTGGGGATACAGCACGGTCATTGTCACAGTCGTGGTCATGGCTGGCAACCTCAGAGGCTTTTGCACAGCGATGCAGACTGGAGTGGTACAGCAGACATGCAGGACTGCACTGGCTGGTGGTAAATGCAGAGGACTTAGTCCTCCCACTGACAGAGCAATTTGGGAGCCATTTTGGAGATGGGCCAGCTGAGCTAAGAACCCAGAACCGCTGCAGGCTTCTTGGAACTCCCACCTGGGCGCAGACCTGTGGAAATTGCTTGGTTTATGGTGAGCCTAAATGTCTGGTCTTAGGGCAGACCTTCTGAGGTCATTCACTACCCTGCCAAAAAGCAACTGCTGGCTTGCTGGATTAGCATGGCACAATTTGGGACTATCCACACAGGTTGTGTACTACTGAATACAGAGAGAATCCTGGGAACGGACTGTTTTTGTTTTTCTTTCTTTCTTTTCCTTTCTCCTTCATTGTTTTTATATGAGTGTGAAAGTGGCTCCTAACCTCTTTGTGAATGTGATTCTCTTTTGTTCTTCCTTCATCTCTTCCAGTTCTCTTCTCCTTCAGTCTTCTGCACCAGTTTCCCCAAGTTGGTGTGATTCCCACTTTGTCCTCTAACTTTACTTCTAATCTCTTTCTCTTCTTCCACTTCTCTATTTTCTCCTTAACCCATTTTAAATTTTAATCTCTCAAGGAAAAATTAATACATTATAGACCTACACTTTGCATATTATTATCTGGTTTGTTTTACATACTGTTACAAGTCACAAATCTAGTTCATACAGTTAAAAGTTGCAAATTAAGGGTTAGCTCAGGTTGTTGTTTTCTAGGCTGTGTTTGATGCCACTGGTACCACTACAGACAACATTGACATAATTATTCTAAACAGCTGTTGGTTTTAATAATCCATGACTGAGACTAATTTAGGGACAGAGAAAATATGGTGGCACAGGTGCCAAAGAACCAGGGACTAGCCAAAAAAAAGCAGTAATTTCTCATCTCCAACAAACTGATGAGGAAATACCTTCTAACAGACTCAAAACCCAAAAAATAGCTACACCTTAAAGATACCTCTGAGAAGTAATCATCACCTAAGGGTCCTAAATACTACCAATAATGCAACACACCATAGGAAACTTACAAGTATCACCCCCAGGAATCAAACATAAATAAAGAAAGCAAGCAAGAAAGAAAGTAAGATCAGAAGACACTTAAGCAAAATGCAACCCCAAACACCCAGTTCACCAAAGACAATTCCAGGGGGCAATGAAGTGGGACAATCTGAAAGCCTCCCACCAGGTCTCTCTAAAGTAGTAACAACAAAGAAACTGAGTGAGGCTCTGGAAAAAAATGAAAGCAGAAATAATCTCTGGTAACTACAGAGATTATCAAAATACATATCATACTTAGCAACATTAGAGCAGACACAGACAAATAACTAGATGAGCTTAAGAAAATTATGGAAGCTCAGCATAGGAAAGAAATGGAATCCATAAAGCAGATTCAAGCAGATACCTAGGAGAATAAAAACTCTGCTGAAAGTATTCAAAGCAGATTAGGCCAATCTGAGGACAGGATCTCAGATACTAAAGAAGGCTTGCAGGTAGTGACCAGGAAAAGAAAGACTTCTAAAAACTGGCAGGGGACCATGAGAAACCAATCCAGCAGCTGCTAGATGAGACAAAGAAAAATAACTTAAGATTAATTGGAATCAGTGAACAAGCAAGAGATACTACAAATGACATTTTAAAATGTTCACAGATATCATGACAGAAAACTTTCCTGGTAGAGAAAAATTTTGACATGCAGATAAATGTGGCATAGAGAACTCCATTTAGCAATGATCAAGAAAAATCTACAGTCAGGCATATCAAGGTAAAGATCTCAGAAATTCAACACAAGAATACAATCGTAAAGGCTGTTAGAGAAAATAAACAAATCACTTATAAAGGAAAGCCCATCAGAATCACTGCTGATGTCTCAGAACAAACTCAAGTAAGGAGAGAGCTTAAAGTAAAGTATTCCAAATTCTAAAGGAAAACAACTTTCAACCCCGAGTGACCTATCCTGCAAAACTGTCTTTCAAAATTGATGGAGAAATAAGATACTTCCATGAGAAAGAACATCTGAGGAAATTTATGAGCACCAAACCAGCACCCCAAAAGAATCAATACTGAAATATAAGAACTAAATCAGATTTTTGAACAAATGGACTTAGTAGATGTCTATGGTGTTCCACCCCACAACATCAGAATACACATTCTCAGCTGCACATGGGACATGCTCCAAAACAAACCATATGGTGGCTCATAGAACATGTGTAAGTAAATGCAAAAGATCTGAAATTATCTCATGCATACTATCAGACCACAGTGCAATGAAACTGGAAATCCATGCCAAAGGAAATCACAAGAATTTCAAAAACATATGGAAATTGAACAGCACCCTAATGAACAACCGATGGATCAAAGATGAAATTAAGAAATTAACAGTGTTTACAGTTGAATGATAGCGAAAATGCATTATACCAGAACTTGTGGGACATTTACAGCAGTAAATAAGCGTTAACAAGAAAGCAGCACAGGCACATATAAACAACAATGTTCAATATCAAGCTTCTAGTAAAATAAGAGCAGGCTAAAACAAAAGCTCATACCAGGGAGGAATTATATAAAGATCAGAGCAGAAATTAACACACTGACGCCAGGTGTGGTGGCTCATTCCTGTAATCCCAGCACTCAGGAAGCTGAGGCAAGAGGACCATTGCGAGTTCAAGACCAGCCTGGGCTACAAAGTAAGCTCAAGACCAGCCTAAACTATATAGTGAGACTCTATCTTTAAAAAAAAACGAAAACCACTGGAAGAACGACAGTCTCTTTAATAAATGGTGCTGGAAAAACTGGCTCTCCATTTGCCGAAAACTAAAGCTAGACCCATGTCTATCACCATGTACTAAATTAAAATCTAAATGGGTCAAAGATCTGAATATTAAAACAGAAACACTAAATCTATTGGAAGACAAATTAGGTAGACACCTTGGAGACATAGGAGTAGGTAGATAATTCATGAACAGGACTCAAACCGCAAGGGGAATACTTCCCAGAATCAATAACTGGGACCACTTCTTATTAAAAAGTTTCTGCATGTCAAAAGAAATCTCCAGCATAGTGAAAAGAAAACCCACAAACTGGAAAAAGATTTTAGTGAACTCTCTCTCAGACAAGGGACTCTTGTCTAAAACATATAAAGAATTAAAGAAACTCAGACCTCCAAAATTCAAAGATCCAATCCAAAAATGGGCATCTGAGATGAATACGCAATTCTCAGATGAAGAAATGCAAATGGCAAATAAATACATGAAAAAATGCTCATCATCATTGGTCATTAGAGAAATGCAAATTAAAACCACACTGAGATACCATCTCACTCCTGAAAGAATGGCCAGGATCAAGAAAACCGACAACAAATGCTGGAGAGGCTGTGGGGAAAAAGGAACTCTCCTGCACTGCTGGTGGGAGTGTAGACTGGTACAGCCTT